TGTAGGAACACAAAAGAAATTTATCTGTAAAATATAAGTGCAGTTTATAACCCTGGGAATATCTCACTAAAGTGCATTAAAAATACTTTTTGATCAAAATTTAATAGACTCTCAATGAGTTGACTATGTAAACCCTGTGCTACTTCTCCCCCCTCCACCGAATACCTAAGTAAACTTTACTTTTCAAGTTAAAAGGACTATTCTAAAATTTCTCATTCTGAATGCTCTAAAATGCCCAGGTTCAGAAAATTAAATTACTCCATTTTTTATCTGCTTGAGATCAGCTCTGCTTCCTCTTTTACTTTGTGTTTACTTTCCTGCAGTAGCTGACATCAAAATGTTTTCTGGAATGCTAGGACTAAATAAGTTATGCTTAACTCAATATCTAATATAAATAGCCCTGGGGAGCGTCAGCGACACAATCATAAAAGCTATAGTTTCTTTTAATAGCTTGCCACACTTTGCTGATATAGTATTTCTCTAATCACCAATCTTTATGTGCCTTCCTGACCTTGGAGCTCTCAGCTCAAATGGCTTTGTGGTATCAAAGGACTATGTCATTGGAAGAGTGAATGGCTTTCATTTTTCCCCTTGAAACTTCCGGTTCCTGGCATCTGTAAAGAATTACTGTGAGTGGTGTTTTGCTGCCTTGCGGCCACTGCCCTATCCAATGGAAGTGACTTTTCCCAGAAAGGTCACAGTGGTCAATAATAGGTGGATATTGCATTCAGGGAAGAGGCAACTCTGATTTCTCTAATTTTTTTCTGTTATAACGTTGACTATGCTTGCATCATATTAGTTGCTCAAACTCCAAGTCATAGTTTGTTTGCAAATAGTGCAGTAAAAAAGGGTGTACTCTGTCAAGTAGTAAAGCTAAAAGGTTTGCAACAAAATTCATAAAATCATCCTAGTTTGTGGGAAAAAATAAACGTCCCATTTACACCTTATAAAAGAGATTACTTTTTGGCAGCACACATGAATTCATCTCCATAATCTGATAGCATCTCAAACGTCCACATGAAAGTGTGGCAGTCACTCGAGTCTCAAGTCCAACGTCTGTCCACGACTGTGTCAGCCACCGGGCAGTCAGTGAGTCCCGCACTTCTGATTCATGGCTTATTTTAAACCTGTATCTTCCAGCATAAATATGTCTTAAGCTTTCTGCCTAGGCAATAGTGTGGGGATTGCAGCATTCCAGGATGCTTGGAAGTTCGGGTGACAGATAACACTTCCAAATGTTCCAGTGATTCAGTGAGTTGCTCCTAAGTAATTTCTTATCTTTGCTCTTCTATAGATCTTAAAAGACAGTGGTAGGGTAAAAGCATATGTGTGTGTAGAAATAAGAATACTAGCAAGGTCTGTGAAGTAATTTAACTTGTTTCCAAAGAGATTCTTGGTATAAGAAGTGTGTCTTTCAAAAAAAATCAGTGTAGAAAGTAATCACAAAATTTAGTAGTGCCTGTATGACATGCACTCTTATCTACATATTTATACAAAACCAGACTGTGTTTTTACTACTCTAACGAACACCACATACACTTATACCTGGAAATGTACATTGCCTAGAATTTGCTCTAAATTTTTTGATTTTTTTCCCATAACTGGTTCTTAGATCATTAGATATCACTCAATGATTCTAGTTAATGCTAATTTATTTTGTATTTTATATATATTTTGCTGGGGATTAAAAGTAGAAAACAAAAATCTCTCATCATTCAACAAAATCTTCTGCTATTTTGGAATATTTTATCTGGTTTTTATGCTTATTTTATATTTAAAATACAATGAATTCTTACAAGATTGAATTTTTATTACTTACAATAATATAGCTTTTTCTGTTTATATTTTAGTATTAGCCATGTTACTGAATATTCTTTGAAACAACACTTTTGTGGGATATCTAGAATCCATTAAGGGAATACATTGTTTAAAAAATATAAGTGATAGATGATGACTGTAGAATGAAAGCAAGCTTGTCCTGACATTGGAAGGTACAAGAATGTTTTTCAAAAGTGTCTTCTTTCTGGCAAGGTAACTAGATTAAAAGTTTTGGAGTTTTAGAACAATTAGAGGACTTGGATATGTTTTCTTGTACAATTAATTCTGTCTGTGTGTGTGAGAGACAAGAGAAAGAAGTTGTTTGAAGTCTTCGGCTTCTCTGATGAAACACACTAACATCTCATGAATAAGCTCTCTCCTCTTTACTGTCCTCATTTGACAGCCTCTAAACATTTTCCTCACTGCCCCTGAGGCCTTAGACGTGAAGACTAGTGACCATAGAATTGCCATCCTAGAATTCAGTTTCCTGAAAACAACTGAGGTGCTGATCTGTTCATCATGATGAGATCAAGAGTGAGGTTCTTTCTCACCTCAGTGTGGACTAGTTTTCAATTGCTCCATGCTTTAGCTGGATTTGTCCTCACACTGGCAAAATTGAACTGGCTACCTTTTGCTCTGTAACAAACCAGTCTGAAACGTATTAGCTGAAAACAATAAATACACATGATTTCTCATGCATCTTCTGATCAGTTGGTGGTTCTCTGAGTCTGCTTTGGATGGCCTTTTCTCATGTGGCCAGGGAAGTTGACTGGGGGTCTGGAGGTCTCTGTCCATGTGAGTGCTTGTCCTCTAGGTGGTGGACACTGGTGTGATCACATAGTGTGATGCAAGGGTTCCTAGAAGCCCGAGGAGGTGACACACATTGGCAAACACTTTTCCAGGGTCTGCTTCTACTATTCCTGGCATTATTTCATTGGTCAAAGCACATCCCTTGGGCAAGCTCAAAGCCACCATTTAGGGGACTACTTAAGTCATGTTTGCAGGATGAAACTGCTACATATACAATTGCCATCTTTCAAATTTCTGCAATCTATTTAAATTCAGCAAAGAACCAAGTTTAACAGTCATAATGGCTATTGAATTCAGAATGCTGTGAAATCTATATTAGGGCCAATAAACTTGAATATATTGAAAGTTGTTTATGAAAAGGACCTTGCCATGATATTTCCCCCCTTTTGAAGCAAAAACAAAACAAAATGAAACAAACAAGCAAACAACTCTATGAGGTAGATTTTTCTCTCAGTTTTAGTAATATTATTCTACTTATTTGACATATTTAGAATAATGAATGCATGTGTTTTATACAACTGTGATCTGCCATGCCAAAAAAGACATTTAAATTCTCATATTTGTCTTGTTATGCCATCTGTTTAAAATTAAAACAACTCATCACACCCCAGAAACTCAACTGATTAGTGTTACATGTATTTTCAGATGAAGGCAATTTCTTACGGATAGGTTCTTTTAATTAGCCTCTCTACACACACAATGTATACTTTTTGAAACAGAAATAATGTAATGTTTCAAACTTGTAGTTTTTGTCTAAGCCATACCACCCCGACAACACCCGAACATGTCAAAATTGTATTTTTAGTCAGAATCAATTACAAATATTTTCTCATCAAAGGAAGACAGAACTCTAGATAGTATGTAGATACAGGGACTTGTTAATATGCATGTTCATATATGAAATCAATAGGGAGCATCCATTATTTATCCAACGATATCCCAGATTCCCACGTGTCTGTGGTATCCTGCACATATGACTTCCCATACCTCCATCTGGAAAGAATGGAGGGAGGAACATGAATATTGGAGACAAATATGGGTTAAAACTCTGGCTCTGTTAATTACTGTGTAGCCTTGAATAAAATCCTCCAATTTTCTGTTTCCATAGGGATGATGTAGAGTTAAATAAGGCAGCGATGCCAAGGGCAGATAGAAAATCTCAGTAAATGGAGCTGCTTTCCTTCTCCTTTCACACTTTCTCTAACTGTTTAGCTTCTAGAACCAACTACTAATAGTAATGGAAATTTTTCTGAGAAGTTGCACATTAGGCACTGCTTAAAAGCAAGGGGGAAGATGCGTTGTGTGACTGCTTTGGAGTGAATGTTATGCCCAGGTAATCAGCGCCTGTGCCATACCCATCTTCTCTCCAGTTTTCCTGTTTGCCTCTTCAGGGACCTGCTAAATTTTCTTGTATCCTGATAACCAGGTTGCTCTGGCCCTATTGCTTATTATTACTCCAAGAAAAAGACACTCAGGGATCAAAAGTACAAAAGCCAAAACCTTGCATGAGTTTGTGGATATGCAGTTGCACACAGCACCCCCAGAAAATGCTGGGGTGAGGAAGATGGAAGCCTGTGCCTGCCATTCTGCACAACTCCAGGGGTGCTGCATTTAAGGCTCTGCCTCTCTGGGATTTCAATTTGACTTTTCACTGAACATTTGATGGCTTAATTTTTCAGTGGGTCAGAATCAAAAAACATGTTAGCACAACCATGAAACTAGCCTGAGAGAACACAGGGACAAGTTGATTAGGACTAAAGAGGTGAGACGGAGGGAAAGGTGTGCCTGGGTACCGTCACAGGGTGAAGTCCCCGCATGGAAGGTGGCAGGTTGGAAATCTGCATCGTAACAAGCCTGTCAGGAATCAAGGACAACTCTGCAGAACAATTAGAATTAACATTTTACTCTGACATTTATCAAAATCTCTGCTCACATTTTACTTTGTAACTGAGGTTGTAGTTTTGTCTCAGAATTTTGCAAGTTGTTTTGCAACTTTAAACATCCCTTTGTAAGGCATGTACCTCCTGCTGTAAGCATAAAGCAATTGGTTCTTTTCAATCTTCATATCCCATAGGAATCCTAGACTTTTTCCAGTTGAATGACAACATATTTTGAAATCTGTATATACTATGCAAATCCTAAATGTACTCAACTGATATAACAATTCAAGAAAATATTAAGTCCTTTATGGTAAATAACATCTGTTTCAATGACCTTCAAAACTTATTTCATTTTATTCTTTTCCTAAAACTCTCCAAAGCTAATCAAAGATAAGACACTCTGCGAATTGTATTATTTCCTTAGCAATAAACACAATTATGATTTTATAATGTTTATTCTATATAAAACAATATTTCAGATATATTCCATTTCTGAACAGAAGCTCAGAAAAAAACAAAAAGTTAAATGTATTATGATATGATTTCCTGTTTCCATCAAATCCTTATAGATATTTATATATTAGAAAGGACAGTTCCTCCCAAACAATAAATTTTTGTAATTATATACATTAAAATGTATCAATATGGGTAAAAGAGCATTGGTGGATTACTGAGAAAATTAAAAACTGATATTTAACAAAAAAAAGATATATTAGAAAAAATTTGCACTTCTTTCTGAATCATTCATCCACTTCTCTAATTAGAGGTACAAATTGGCATATTTCTTATTGCATGTTTTAATATTATCCACTTGGTTTAGACCTAGTGATCCAATGTATGAACTACTGTAGCATATTTACAGAGGAGTCCAAAAGAAGGACAGCAATAGACATTGTCAGCAGAAAAGTGGAAAATAAAAGGGATAAAACTGTGATACAGGTCCTCTCCTCCCGCTGTCCTGGCACTGTGGCCTTCCTACACCTCTCTCCTGAGAAGAACAAACACAGTGTGAACATTAGAGCTGTTCTTCCATTTTTTCCCTTTATCTCCCACAACACAGACACATATTCAGTCTACCTCTAATTTTAGCTTTTTTCTTTGGTTTGTTTCCATAAGACTAAAGGCCAAGCCCTGACCTTGTCTAACCTTAGTAAATATGGCGTACCTGCACTCTTGGGCTGGAGGAGGGTGGCTTGGGGAAAAATTATGTCAAAACCAGTTCTGCAAAGCAGAGTACCTGGTTCTACCATGGAAGTGTCGTCTGTTCGATCTTAATGACCCAAGAGTGTCTGGTGCTGTAGTCAGAGCTCAGAGATACTGTACACTCTAGCTGGCCTGCCCAGAACATGGGCATGGCAATGTTTACCCTGGCTTATGTGGACAAAGACAGGCTTACAGTCACATACTCGGGGCTCAGATGCCGTCTCCGTTTTTGCTCATAAATGGTTTCCTCTCTAACTTGTTCACTTTGGAGGATTCTTGTCTTTGCTTGTTTAGAAATACTAGAAGTAGTGTGGCTTCTCCTTTCCTTTTATGACTTCAAGTTTCAGCACTCTTCCATTTACCCAATAAAGCCCATGTTGCAATCCATGTTCTCTTCAAAATATCAAGCAGTGTTTCTGCCCCCTTAATGGAATTCGTTCGTTGGGAATCTCCTCATTGACGGTCATATCCTTGGGTAACAACTGCACATTCTCAAATCACATTCTTATCTGCTCCCAATGTGGTATTCTTTTCCTTTCAGGGCTTCAAAAATGGGACAAACACAGCATTTAGAGCAAGGATAAAATCCAGTATTCAAATTTTAACTTACCAGTGGTTTCAATATCTAAAGAAAAACTAAGTCTGACTTTAAACATCTGAGGAGGATGAGAGGGGTTTTCTTGCATTTCTACACTGGATAATAAAAGTAAAAATTTAACTCCATGTAGTCTGTCTATCCCTAGCAGCAAAATACTAACTCAAAGTCCAGTAAGTTTTTATTGTGGGGCTTTCCTAAGTTTTATACTATTTTGCCCTCTACTTACTAGATGCCAGTAGCACCTCTTCCCCACCACCATACCAATCAGGATTATACATATACCTATATATATACATCCTTCTGGCATTGTCAATTGTCCCTTTTGGTACAAAATTCTGCCCCCACCCTACCTCAATGAGACAGAGCATAGGGCCTGACTCCGTTCATTTATTCACATCTACTAATTACATGGGGCCACATTTTCAATCCAATTATTAATTGAAACATATAATCATATTTATGAACTGAATAGTTAGTTTATAAAATGTTTTAGACCTCTGGGCACTATGTTGTATTTAACTGGAACAAAACATACACATATATACTCAGTAGTTAAATTAATGCTGCAACTGAAAAGGATAATCTTATGGATATCTGACTAGACTTGGGTCCTTGAAGGCTTACAGTCTGACCTGCACACTTGAAAACCTTTTCCCAGAATTTCTCCTATGACTTGAAAACACCCCATCTCACTTTGCCTTCACATCAACCTGGTCCTTTGTTCATATGGTAAGATGTCCATTGCTTCTGAAAGCCTTCTTCTTTTTTCTTTCCTTTCTGTGAGCAGCAATAAAATTTCCAAATTGCCACAGCAAACCTTAATACTTGTGTAATAAGCTTCCCTGTGCATGCTAATTGCATATCTGATTCATTTTTTGCCTGCAAAATTAAAGCTCCCTGAGGTGAAGGTCTTTGTTGACTTTTAATACCTACTATGGATCAAGGAAACTTATTTGTAATGTAACGTGTACTACATAGTTGATAACTAAAAACGAGAACTTTTGTTTTATAAAGTGCTTGTTTGCACAAATTTTATTGTTTCCCACTTTTACCTTGTACTCATTCCATTTTTACTTGACTTCATTTATGTGCAAGACTAGACTGGGTTAATAGACAAATGGACAAAAAGTGAATACACAGGTCTTATCCTTACATAAATCACAATCTAATACTAATGTTTCTCAACTTGAGAAGATTCTATCTCCAAGGGACATTGAGTAATACCTAAAGACATTTTTTTTTTCTAACTGTTCACAATTGGCATGGGTTTCTACTGGCATACAGTGAGTTGTAGTAAAGGATGCTACTAACATCCTACAAAATATAGGACAGAGCTCCACAGCAAAATGTATTTGTCCTAGAATGTTAATAATGTTGCAGTGGAGAAGACTGGAAAGAGAAGAGCAAGTAGCCAATAGTTTACTAGAAAGTAATGCATGATAGGAGAGGGTTAAGATGCCATGAAGGCCTACAAAAGGAAAAGGGATTCAGAGCACATGACTGCAAGGCAGAGAGAGTGCCCTAGGGAACTGACATAGTCTTGGTATGCAGCTTGGGAAGCAGCAGTATGTGAGTAAAGTATGAAGAATTGGTTACCCCCAGCAAGAAAGTGTGAAAATAGTGCCAAGAGCTAGGGTGGAGCTGCAGGGAAGCCAAATGTCCAATGTAAGCCCAGGGAGGAAAGTCTGCAGAGGAGACCTAGGAAGGGTAGATGGCATGGAATGCTGTTGGTGTCAGGAAGAGAATCAGCAGCTGTGAGCAAGAAAATACAGAAACGATTCTTTCACAGCGGGAAAGATGTCACTGGTAACTCTAAGCTGTGAAATCTCAACATATAGAGGTCTTCGAAATGATAGCAGATAGATTGTCCTAGACAGAGAAGAGAAGGGAAGGACAGGGGAAGTGTGGGTTTCTCTTCAGGAAGTGTGCTGATGATTATTTGTAGAAGAGAAAAATTGAAGATTGTCTAACAGTTTAATAAAGGATGCAGTCCAATTGTTACAATTATACTGAAATAATATATAACCACAAACGGACATGTTTTTGAGAGACAGATACTTCAGACTATGGGAAAATGATCACAGAGTGTGAAAAGACGGAGGCAAACTGTGATGAGGTACAATATGCAATATTTTTATAGGTATGAAAAAAGAAAACTAAAAATTCCATAATATTAGCTGTTGTCACATCTGTGTGTTCGATATTATGGGCAATTACCCTTTTCTTCCTTGAATATTAATCTCCAAATGTCCTGATAGGAGCATGTGTGAATTTTAAAGACAAAACAAAAGAAAACAAAAGAAGTTTGGTTGAGAAAGAACAGAGAAAGTACAGTTACTTCTGGCAGTGATTTGAAGGGGACACCGAGAGGGGAAAGGAGTGTGTGCGTGTGTCTGCATGTGTGCATGTGAGCCTGTATTTGAGTTGGAAGCAGTGAGAGCATTTTTGTAGGTTGAGGGGAAAGAGCTGGTGCAGCGCCAGAGGTTGAAGATACAGGACCATGGTGATTGATGGAGCACCTCCCTGAGGAAGCCAGAGGGATGGAATCCAGATCACAGGTGGTGGGATTAGCCTTGGCTAGGAGGAGAGACATCACTTCAATTGAAAAATGAGGAAAAGAGGTAAGGATGGATCCGGGTGCTGATAAGAGGGTAGAGGAGGGGCAGGAAGTTGAGGGAGTTGCTGTCTGTTGGCCTCTATTTCCTTTGTGAAGTGAAAGGTGAGGTCATTTGCTGAGTGGGGTCAAGGGTTTACAGAGAATGATGGGGATCTGGGAGAGCCCTGAAGAGAAAGAGGGAGGAAGGAGACTTGGGAAACATAGGTTGCCGAGCTGTGTTAAGAGGCTGGCTCTGGCTGAAGGCTGAATTTTTAACAAAGGGCACTGTTTGTATAGACTCGTGTTTTCTCTAGCAGCATGCCGCAATATTAGTTTAAATATAAAGCAAATAGTGGTCCTGATCATAGGTTGCAGATTTTGCAGAAACAGCAAGACTGAGCATAAGGGCCTTCTGCATGATGCTCTGCACATGCACTGTTTTCAATGCCTTAGGTGAGAAAAGCTAGAATTTATGCTGGAAAGGAGCAGAAGTGAAGCCAGAAGAGGATTCAAGGGAGTGGAAGTCACATGAGATCTAAAGATAGGAAAGAGGGAGTGAGAAAACTTTAATAAGGAGAAGCTCAGACTGGATGGGTTATAGAAGGGCGGCTCTAGGGCAGGGAGTGCCAGGGGAGTTGGAGGTGCAGGGAGCGCTCCTCTAGCTCTTCCGGGGTCTCTGCCAAGTCCTCCGTTAGTACGGCCACGGGACAGTAAAAGTACAACTGTTGGTTGGATGTGGCGTGCAAAAAGCACTAAAAGAAAAAAAGACCACAACTGTATAGATTAACTCTTTTCCCCCTTTACACACACACACACACACACACACACACACACACACACACATTGATCTAAAAATACAGCAAATGTTTAAATCTGGAATATTATTACAGTAAAACACAGTGCCATAGACACCCCTTAAAATACTGCCCCTTACTTCGAACACACTTACGCCTTTGCTCTTGCCACTTTCTGAAGCACCTCTGGAAGTTCATTTTTGTCTTTAGTTGCATTGTTGTGGCTGCTTCAGCGTCCTGAATTGATTCAAAATGTTTACCTTTCATGCTCATTCTGAGTTCGGGAAAGAGCCAGAAGTCCCACAGTGCCAAATCCGGTGAAGAAGATGGATGAGGACACACTGTAATGTTTTTACAAGCACAGTTCTCCATTGAATGGCACTCAACAGCAGAATTCATGATATCTTTGATCACACCTCATAAAGACATGAAAGAAGATTTCTAGAACTGCTTCAGAAAGTGGCAAGAATGATGGGACATATATGTGTTCTCTGTGTATGTACAGTCAGTTCTCCATTCAAGGGCTTATATCCATGGATTCAACCAATGTATGATCAAAAATATATGTTTTTAAAAATTATGTCTTTATTGAATATGTCTGGATATATTTTCCTATCAGTATTGCCTGAATAGTATAATATAATAACTGCATATTCTACTGGCTATTATAAGTAACAGAAATGATTTAAAGTACACAAGAGAATGCATGAGGATTGTATGCAACTACCATTTTATATAAGAACCTCAAGCATCCTCAGGTTTTAATATCTGAGAGGATACTGTTACCAGTTCCACATGGGTACCAAGGGACAACTGTGTGTCATTTGAAATACTACTCAGGAAATAACTTGGATGTTAAAACAAACCTCCCAGCCAAGTGAAAAGAACACTAGGGCCGGGCGTGGTGGTGCATGCCTGTAACCCCAGCACTCGGGAAGCTGAGGCAGGAGGATCATTGTGAGTTCGAGACCAGCCTGGCTATAAAGTGAGTTCAAGGCCAGCCTGAGCCGAAAATCGAGACCCTGTCTCAAAAAGACAAAAAGAAAAAGAAAAGAAAAGAACACTAGGCCTTGTTTGCAACCTAGATGTTTAACTGCTCTATGTCCGAACAAGTGACATTCACATTATTTTCTCATTGGTAAAATGGATTAAATTGTGTCTACTTAATAAGCATTTTTAAGAACTAGATTACAATTTAAGAACATATGAGGGTTTTAAAAGTTCATATATTATGGTTTAATTCATCTGTTCAACAAATGTTGATTGATTGAACAATATTATGTTTGTGTGTGTAATTAGAGAATATAATCAAGAGCAAACAGACACACTCTTCTCTCTCCCATGTTTAGAATCACTTGGGCTCATTTAAGGGATCATAGTAAAAATAATCTGGTACCTTTCTGGCCCTGCAAGTCTGTTTCTCACCACACCCTATGACTTACATATTCTTCTAGGGACCACTTAGATAAAAGAATGTCCCTTAAGAAATGTCATTGAAGAAAGATTTTAAGTACTTATGATCATAATTTTTACATGTTTCATCTTCTGCTACTTTTTTATCTGTTTAATTATTTGAAATCTTGAACACAAGTTTATAATCTGTCAAAATAATTATTCCCCATCCTTATATACACATGGACACATATACCTACATGTACATAACTATACACACAGATGCAAGCAAACACATACATAATATACACATAAATATCCTGTAAAAAATTCCTGCATAACTGAAGCCCAAAGAAGATTAAATATTCAGAATATTGGCTCATCAACATTCAGCATATTGGGGATAGTGTCTATATTACTACATCTCTTCATCTAACAGATGGCTGGCAATCACATCTCAGAGCCGAAACCACATCAGATGCTCTATGATAAGCAAAGTGAAATTTTATATGCTACTCCCCTAGCAAGGGAAGCATTTGAGTTTATGTCACAACAAAAAGCACATGGAATAGAGAAGAACTCAGTGTAGTGCATCTTATTACTTTACTATTTATTGATAAAGACTAATTATACATATTTATACAGGTAAATAAATATGAACTGTAAACTAAATAATGTAACACATTTCAAATTTGTGTATAGATTATGACTTCCTAAGATTAACAGTTTGTTTTATGCATAATATGAATATTCTCTGCAGACAAAATAACAATTGTTAGTATCTCTGAGTGCTTAGAATATGCCTCACGATGTGCTAAATATTTCAAATGGATCATGTCATTTACTATTGACAACAAATTTTATATACCATTATTATTCAAAATCTGAAAATTCAAGAATTTGAGAAACTGAGGCTTCAAGTTTTTAAATTAAGCCATATGGCCATAATCCCAGCTACTGTGAAGGCTGAGAAAAGAGGATTGCAAAGAAACACTGGGAAATTTAGTGAAAATCTGTCTCACAATAAACAAGCAAAAGATTAGAAATGTAATTCAGTGAGTGTACTGGGTTCAATCCCCAGTAAAGGGGCAAAAAGCTAAGCAACTTGTTTGTCATTTAATGGCTCCTCATTACCCCCAGGTAGACAGATGTAGAGAGAATACCAGTTTATCTTCCAATTTAAGTGGTCATATGGAGTCTACCTAAGTATTCATAGGTTCATCTTCCTCTCTCCAGCTCAGCCACAGTGCTAGACTGGCAACTGGCAACTGGCAACTGGATTGATGACGCATTTCCTGCCTGTTGTTAGTAGTCTGACTCCCTGGGTTTATCTGTGACTTCACACACAAATGAAGTGGTTGCTCAGTGACTACAAATAAACTCATACTACTGTTGATTAGTGTCAATTGGCAGCCTCCTGTTATCACAACAATCCCTTACACAGTAACTCTGGAACACGAGCTGACTCACTGCCTCTCATTCTTCATTCTTCTGAGTATTCCCTGAGGAAGGCTCACATTTTTGGGAATGAATCTGTGCTGACAGCCACCTGCACCTACTGTGAGCTGCCACACCCACCACCACTGCTCACATCCAGGTGCTGCCTTACAGGTCCTCAGACCTTCACAATTCTCAGGGTCCCAGTAAGCTTCATATCCCAGATCCTCAATGACATTTTCTCCAAAAATAACACCGTCCTTCAAATTCTATTCTAGTTTGCCACCAAATGTCCAAAAGGAACCATGCTTATGCTGTGGTGCATAAAAACAGCTCTCTCACCTTTTGTCCGTCTCAAGGCTCACATAACCATTCAGTGAGACTCAGCAGAGAGCAGACCTGTTTGGTATTCTTCATTCCCTGTCATTTCTATCTCTTCTCTGATCTCTCACCATAACTCCTCTTCTTTCCTTTGGTAAAAGCAATCAACCAAATACGAGCCTAACTCCTCTTGACCAATATAATGTCCAGGGGATATAGAGGGCTGGTGGCTGCCCCCACCACGGACTGCTCATGGTTCATCTGCTCTGCCTGCAACCAATGTTTGAAACAAACATAGTTCACCTAAGCTGAGCCACACTAATTGCTCCTTAAATGCAAATACAATCATGTGTTCCACTCCTTTAAACATATCAGTGATTCTTCACTGTCTGCAAGGTGAAGTTAAAACTCCTAAAGATGGTTGCCAAGGTATTTCATTAACAAGACACTCAGTTTTTTTCTCCTCCTAAATTTATTACCAGTCTTCTCCATCAAACTCACTTGAAACTCCATGTATGAGAGAAATAGTGAGCTCTCACCTGCAGAATTATCGGAGGACATGCAAAGAGCCACATACTATTGTAGAAGGCCATGTTTACCAGGCCGGCACTTTTAACAAAAATGCCTGCTTCTTAATGCCTGTCAAAAAATAAAATAGCTACTTTTTACTAAATGAATGATTTTAAATAAAAGGTACCACCAATGACAAACTTAGTTCTCATCTAAGCATGATGAGAATGTTTTCATATTTACTTACATAGTGAAAAAATAAATGAATCACTAGGCAGATGGAACATAATGCCAGTAAACAATAAATATTGCAGATTCATTAGAAATAAATAAGTTAGAAATAAAAACAAGTTGAGTTTGGTGATAAACATTTGCAATATATTTACTGCACAGTTTTAGACTTCTAAGCATAGTTTTCAAGAGCAATTTTGATACTTTACAAATCATAATATGTACAGAATAAAACATTTTAAGGAATATGAAATAACTTTTAACTTGAAGAATTTATTCATGTAAGTCTGAAACTATCCTGAAGAGACTTATTTTGTTTCTACCTATTCTACTTAGAACTGAATCTGTTATACTATTATAGTACCAGAGAAGACCTTCAACTCAGTTTTGAGCAGTGTCTAACCATATTATCCAGTTGTTCTCTGTTCCATTTGAGGAGAATAGCTACAACTCAATAGCTGAAGTGAATCCAGTGTGACACTAAAGTAACAGAACTTGTATGGAAGGACTTCAGAGTCTGATGTTCAGCGAGTGGCAATTCCTAAAAATATTTATGAGAAGTGAATAAAAAAGGAACATTTGTTTTATTGATACATGTGAACAGTGTACAGCAATTAATGAGATCATTTAGCAAAATCTGCACACCTGTGTCTACTACGGGCTGTTATTTATTTAAACTGTGTTCTTAGGATAATGGTTTTATAATAAGAAGCACAGGTTAGTTGCTAAAAATTATCAAACCTCAAGACTGACTGCAAGAAATATTTCAGAAGCTACACATTAGAACCTATATAAGAGAGGCAAAAAAGAAACATGTGAGGGTATATATGTTAATTAACTTGATGTAGCCATTGCACAATGTATACTTTTAGCAAAACATATACCATAAATGTATATAATTCTTACTTTTTCATTAAAATAAATTTTAATATAAGACTAGAGACATAATAGGCTTTAGAGGGCTGTTTTAGCACCCTGATAACTCTGCATGACATTAATACATGAATCTTTATTCCTATTAAACATAGTAAAATATAATAAATATATATATAAAGCTAAATATATGCATAATTCTGGATAAGGAGCAAAATATGCACAGCAGCTGAGAGGTGCTGATATTAGGTGGTTGCTGACATGGACAACACTGAAATGACAATGGCGTCTGGGACAGAGGCATTAGTCATGGAGATCACAGTGAAGTCAGAAGACTAGTCTAACAGCCCCTTATATTGTATTTTGGAATAGACTCAATCTAAATTTTAAAAAAGAATTTAAAATATAAAAATGGTACATTTTTAATGATTAATTTTCTTAACCTATATGGAGAGATATATACTACTTGAGTTTGAATAAAATACTGATTAATTAATGCTTGTGCAGATAAGCCACTTTTTCCAGAAGAAAAAATAGCCACCACCTACACATCATTGCTTCATTTTATATTTTCTCAGTGTTTAAAATTTTTTTCAATTCATACATTAGTAAAATGGTAGAGGTATAATACAAGCCCAGGACAATATTTCTCGCTGTTGTTTTGTTTTTTGAGTCCTTGCTCTTCTTAATAACTATTTAAGATTAAGCAACCTACTTTAAGATTAAGCAACCTACTGCTGATAAAATGTAGGTTATTATTCTGCTAACATGATCATTTCAAACATAAATCTAGTCTTATGAACTCTATCTAATATACAATCTCCAGTTCCAAACTCCTGGAAGCAAAAACTGTTCGTTGACTTGCCATTGCTCTTAGGGTTAAGACTCAGCCTTTTTGACAGGACAAAACCACCTCATGGTCTTCTCCCATCTACCTCTTTTCCCTAGCTTGAGCCAGCTGCCTCCTCACAGTAGGCTAGCCATGCTGTCCTGCCCTGTTTTGTGGTACTGACAGCATACCTTACAACCAGGGAGAGTCACTTCCAGATGGTGTTCCCTCCACTTAAAACATTCTTCCCGCTCCATTTGCTGAGCTAAATCTATCTCATTCTTCATTTTTTGGCTGAAATATCACTTCCCCATAGAAGATCTCTGTCTCTGTCTGTCTCTGTCACTGTCTCTCTCTCTCTCTCTCTCTCTCTCTTTCTCGGGTGGTGCGTTATGTGTTTGTTTTTGTTTTTTGTTTTGCAGCACTAAGGACTGCGCTCAGGGTCTTTGCACTGAGTTATACATCCATACATCCCCAGCCTTTTTTTTTTAAAGAGAGGGTCTTGCTAAATCACCAGTTTCCAGGGCTGGGTTTGTACTTGTGATCCTCCTTCTTCAGCTTCCCAGAGTACTGGGATTACACATGTATGCCACCACTCCCAGTTTAGAAAAGCTTTCTTGACTGCTCTAAAGTTAGAAAATGGTTCTTGCCCTTCCTAGCTCCTTCCCAGTGCTGTTTCACATTTATGGTATGGAACTTTGATGCACATTTGTCTTCTTCATTATCCTTGCAACTCCCTTTAGAGGAGTAGTTATATCTGTTTTGTTCCTGTTTATATTTTCTTCTAACACAGAACATTAATAAGTATATAAAATGAATGAATGGTTAATTAATTCAACTAGAATCAACAATTACAGAATTATCTGAAATTCCAAGTGCTTTACGACCTTTGTTTTTAACCTTGAGGAAATCCTTAAGAAACGCTTCCATTCCAAAATTACAGTATTTTGAGATTTATTATGTTACACTCATCACAGCAAAAGTATCATAGTACTATTGTTAACTATGAGATTATGGAGGAAGCAAGCAATTTTAAACTCTGATCTACAGTGACAAGTATTTATTTAAGATATTTCTTTGCATGCTATGGGTAGAGCTGTGTGCGTCCTCAAACACTTAATCATTTTAAAATGAAAATGTTCTTTTTAAAGAGGATGCTTGCGGTCAAATACCAAAACAAAAACAGATTAAACAATGGTCTCTTTGTTTTGTCTTTTTTTGTTAGCCTAACATTAAGCAGGGTTCTATCAGCAACTGGCTTCTATTTCAGTAACAAAAGAGACTTGAAATATCATGCCTTTGACCCAGACATGCTTTAGGAGAAAGGGTAAAATAGAAATAAACTCAAACATTATTCAGAGTTTGACATGTTTGGTAATTTGTGTACAAGCAACTGGATCTAGAGTGTAGTAGTGAAATGTAAGTGATTCTCCTATGTTGAGCAAAATGCTTTCTCAGGCTGAAAGGGTGTAAAGATGAGTGCTTGATTCTGCAAGATCTCTGATTCTACTTACTTGACCCAGTTTATGTTATACCAGAATCCATGGGTTTAAAATATCTTATCATGACCTACTATCAATGTTAAAACTGTTACATTGACAGAGAAACCTAAAAGTTGTAATTACTGGGCTTTTATTATGGCCACTTAATCTTTTCTTAGAGCTGTGCTTCATACTATTCTTTTAAATTAATGACCCCCTTGATGAAAGCCATGAACTGGCTTCAGAAAAGCTCACAGGTGCACATTCTCATACAATTAGGCAAACAATCTCAGGAGTTTTATATTCACTGGGATTCTTCCCTGGATCCTAGACTGAGAACATCTATTCAAGATAAATCCATCCAGTTCATGTGTCTTAAATAGCCATGATTTATACTGCTTGTCATCTCTCTCATTATGATTTATTTTATATCTGGACTATAATTATCAAAAGGGAGAAATAAAGGAAATGCTCAAGAGATTCATCATATTCAAACAAAACTTCTTCTTTCCCACTTTATCTTCAGGCTATTATTTCTAGCCCAGAGCTCTATTGTTCATCCTGTTCTGTCCATTGGCTACCAACCAGACAGAAGATGCTAGTCTAGGCCATTGTATAATTTCATCTTCCTCTAGGCTGTTACAAAATTAAAATAATTTCAATCTGTTCTCTTGAATGTTTTTTTCTACAGGCGATTTTTAAAATGCAGAAGCTGAAAAGCGACTGAAGAAACAAAAATATCCCTTGTTTTTTTTTTAAGTTTTCTATTGTGAAAGAAATTAGTCATTGTGGACTAGTCACTTATTTAATTTCAAAATTTGAATGTGGTTTCTTTTGTATTCAGTAATGGCGCAAATTTTCCATCGATTTAAAGGGATCATTTTCCAAGAATTCTCCAACTAGCTGGATCTTAAACATTTCTAAAGCAACCATCTTTTCAGATATATATATAAATGCATAGTGCAACCAAAGCAGTAATTCACTTTCTCCAGGAACCCTTATATCAGGACATATTTACAGTTATACCTGAGCTATTTGGAAACTCTGTCCAAAGGATAGTAACTTTTACCAATATTCTATCTACCCATTGAGGAACAATCTTGTTAAATAGATTCAGCTTCACAATAATTCAATACAATATTAGGGAAAAACGAGCCACTAACCCTTAATCCAGAATCATGGGTTAACTGACTCCTACACCTTCTCTCACTGTATACACATATAACTGCTGTTACTCTTGAATCTGATTTCCTCTGGTTGTGCAGGTGGTGTTTTAGCTGGAAATTCTGTAGGATTCAGTTACCCACACCTCTGCCTTGTGAGCCACATTATTGTTTATGGAGTCCTCATGATGTGAACGTGAAGATAGTATCTGATAAGGAGTAAAAATTTTACTTCTTGTGCTGGCATGTGTGTGTGTGCACATGTGCGCATGTGTATATTGTCTTTGTTGGCATGCAAAATATGGTAAAGACTCATGTTTGGAATAAAAATTCAAGAAGAAGGCTTACTGGAAGTGACCACTGAGTATACAGGAGACAGTATTTCATCTACTGTGAGCCTGACCTCTGCTACAAGGGACACTACTTGGCAATGAAAGCAACATTGGTAGAAAACACAGCAGTGAGCACATTTTGCTATTGCTGAATGCAGTTTCTCCTGCACACTTGAGTTCAGAAATGCTGCCATTGCCGTGAGAAAAAAGTAGTAAGAAA